AGGGCCGCGGCTCGGCCGGGGCTGCGCTGGGCCCGGTCCCGGTGCCGATCCCGATCCCGGCCCGGTCCCGCCTGGCGCTTCCCGGCGGCCCCCGCGCGCCGCCGCCGCCCCGATCACGTGACGCGCGGGGAGAAAACCACGTGACCCCGGCGGAGCGCGAGCGCGCAGGGGGCGTGGCCAGGGCCCGGCCCCGCCTCCCTCGCGCGGCGGCGGCGGGAGAGTCACGCGGCGCCCCCTGGCGGCGGCGAGCGGGACGCGGAGCCCCGGGCCCGGAGCCGAAGGGGTTAACGAGGGCAGCCCGGGAAGCGCCACGGTTAACGGGGCTTTTACAAAACCAAAAACTCCTCATCCGCCAGCACGGCTCGCGGGAGGCAGCGGCAGATGGACAGCTCCGGCCAGGCTCGGGGGTTACTCTGTAAAATGACAACACCTAGAGACAAAGTAGCCAGAAAAGGCAGGAAGGAAAAAAAAAAAAAAGCCAGTACAAACACTGTATTTGAAACTAAATTAAACAAAAAAATCTTGATACAGAAGGCCTTCTGGCCGGAGAACTTCCTGGGGAGCAGTCCTGCCCCTCTGTGAGGGAATGCCAGGGCAGCTCCGGCTGAAACCTGCACACAAACACCACAAATATTTTAGATATTTGCAGTAAGCCTCAACGTAGCAACTAGTGTTTAATAATTGATTCACTTTCCCGTTGAATGGCACATTCACTCCACAAGACTTGAACACCTTTCTGGTAGTTTTATTTACAGCCTGCAGCGTGTTCTGTAAAACACAGGAGTGGTCAGACAGACACACAACATGGGGATTTTCAAACATTTAAATAAGTACAGTTTATTCCAAAGTAAGTCTACACACTACTCTTTCCATAAAAATATAAAAAATAGTTTAGTAACTGTATTTAACCTAAACCAAGATACTTGAGAATTCTTCCACAAGTGATGCCCCCTCCCCAAAAGGGCACTCCAACAATAAGAAATTCAGGAGACTGCATCACCAAATAGAACACTAACAGCAACTGCTTCAATCCACCAGAAAACCAAACAATTCCCACTCTGCATCCAGCAATCCCTGTCCTGCAGCGAGTTTGGATCTGCTTTTGTGGGGTTTGCACTCACTTGCTTCTCCACAATCAAAGACTGACTGGATTCCTGCAGACTGGAGTCAAAGAATGACTGGATTCCTGCAGACTGGAGTTAAAGAATGACTGGATTCCTGCAGATTGCCACTCAGCACAGCCTGGCCATCCTGCATTCACACATTCCTTGGGAAACACATCCAGAGGGGAACACTTTCCTTTGAGACCTTCACTTCAGGGAGTCTCCTTTTTACTGAGCATCCAGAGAGAGCAGTGCCCAGTCGTGTTTGTAATTAATTCTCTGGTTTTGCTGCCCATTTAACAGATGGGAATATTCTGCTGGAGCCCTGCAGAACACCCACTCCAGCCCTTGTCTCTGGGGTACACTGAATTTACAAAAAAAAGGCACAAAGATGAAACTCCTGAAGCAGCAGCAGCCCCGATTCACCGAGCTGCTGCTCTCCAAACCAGCCCTGTGTCTCAGCAAACACCTCCAACACACAGCCAAGCACACAGGGCAGCACAAGCACGACACTGAGCAGGGACAAACCAACACAGCTCAGCTGGGTGCTGCATGAGGACTGGACCTGGAAGCATCAGGAAAAGCCACTGGAACACAAGCTCAGCAGCACAGAACCCGACTGTCACCAGCGAGGTGGGAGGATCTGGGTGGGACACGTTGTGCATTCAGGTTCAACAATGCCACAGCTCCACAGCAGCACTGAAAAACTTCTGCTTTTAACAGTTTAGAGGATTTTTCTCAATGGAAGTGAAGCTGTCATTAACAGAGGAACAGTACATGATGCACAGCATAATCTGCAACAAAAAAAAAAAAAAAAAAAGCTTTTGCTTTCCAGCATGTAAACATCCAGGTTTAGCTGCTACTGGACTTTAGCTCTTATAAACAAATCTGATGATAGAATTTTTTTTTTTGGGGGGGAGCTAAAAAAGTAAAATCTTCCATAAAAGGATAAACCACAAAAATACTCTCTCATTAAGTCTCACGTGCCATTTAATCCCTTCCATGTCCTATGAACAACTATGCAGAACACTAAGAAATGGGAGCAGTAGAAATGTTGACCACTGAGTGCTTGGCAGCCGTGTGCTCCAGCCCTGGCAGGGCAGTGTCACTCACTCCACACCAGTCCTGCACCTCCCCAGCTATTTCTTCTTCTTCTTCTTTGGGGGCTCATCCTCAGAGCTGCTGTCTGTGCTGCTGCTGCTGCTGCTGCTGGAGGAGCTGGAATCCGACTCGAAGTCGGAGGAGGAGGAAGAGCTGCTGGAGGAGGGGGAGGAGGAGGAGGAGGAGTTGCTGTCCTCACTGTCACTGTCCGAGGAGGAGGAGGAGGAGGAAGAGGAGTCCTCGCTGTCGGAGGAGGAGTCGCTGGCTGAGCTGTCACTGCTGCTGCTGCTGGAACTGGTCACACTCTTGGACCTGAGAGAGAACAAAGAGCTGAGCACAGCCCTGCCAAGCCCATCACACACAGAGTGTTCCCTCTGCTCTGTCGCAATAATCCAAAGATCAATTATTTGCCTTGAAAATTTCCACACCTCACCACCGAAATTTCCAGGGCTCACCACCTAAGATGAATCCCTGTGCCCTCCCCTCCCTTCCCCACTCCTGGATCAGTGGATTTTGGCCATTTGAGCAATGGCAGAGTGGCCCCAGGGTGTGACATAGCCCATAGGACAGCAGAGAGGGAAAGCTGCCCAGGATTTGGCCCTGAGCAGGGGCTTTGCTGGCCTGGCTGCCCTGAAGCAGCCAAGCCCTGGGGAAAATGAGCCAGGCTCAGTCCCTGCCTCACCACTGCAACGGGGAAATTCTGCCACTGCAAGAGCCAGGGGAGGTTTCAGCAGAGATTTCACCGAGGTCAGAGCTGTTCCCAGCAAAAACTGTTCTTAGATTACTCCTGGCAGAGGAACCCAAAGTACCTGCCACTACAGGATGCTCGTGTTTTCCAGGTGGAGGAGAAGGGTGGAAACAATCCAAGGTTAAGACAGAATGATGAACACAGCAGAGGATTTCTGTACGCTCTGCACTTTTTTTTCATGCTCAGCCCTTCCTGGGGCCATTGTTCTCAAGACCAATGTCTTGATTTAAGGGAGTGACATGAATTCCAAGAAAGTACAATTCAATTCTCCCAGAGATCTTTCCCTGAAGTATAAGACACTGATTCACCTCCTTCCCACCAAAGTCAATCAAAGAGCATCCAAAAATATAAATTATGATAATGCAGAATCTTGTTTCCATTAGAAAATGAATGCAGTATTTTTTATCAGAGGGTTTGGTGCAATGTAACAGCTCAGGAAGTGCCTGTGTTAAGGTTATTGAAGAGTGTGAGGTTTTTTCATCATATCAGCCCTGTCAGCTGACAAATGTGGGTGTGGATTAAGCCACAAAGCACTGAAGTTTTTATAATACATCTGTAATCTGCAGTCTCTGTGTGCAGACACAACGACTGTTCACTACTGATAAATCCATAAGGGCTGTTCAAACACTGACTTGTCTGGGGAATAAAACAGCACTAAGATGAGCAAAATACAAAATATGGGAGTAGCACTTCCAATCTGAGCAGTTCCATGAGATGGGCAGGAATGAGAGGATCTCCTGAGTAGCTCTGAACTTGCTTTTCCTGATCACCTTTCACAGAATCCATAGCAGCAACCCATGGACATCCAGTGTTTAGGTTTATTCCAAAACCCACTCCCAGGAACATCAAGATATTGCACTTAAAGCTGCTCTCCCAGAGGAAACAGGCAGGACCTTGTTCTGAGGGGAGGCAACACGTGGGCTGCTGGTACTGACAGCAGGAGGATGGAGATGAGGACAGGTAAAACTCAAAATACCATCTGGAGTGTGACAGTGCAGAGCCTGCAGGCTGCTGATCTCAGATTGTGGGGTTTATCACTCCTCTGGAAAGCACAGAATTTTAAAAGCAGGTACCATTCATCCTCCTCAGGACAAGTTTCCAAGAGTTCATCTCTGGTTCTGTGCCCCTGTGAGGGCCAAGTGCTGTTGGGGCCCAGACTGTGCCCCCAGGCTGGCACCCTGCTCTGACACCCCAGGGCTTTCCAGTGCCACTGACACCCAAAAGCCACAAACGTGGGCACAGCCACAGCTGGGGCCTGAGGAGAGCAGGGAAGGAGCAGGCAAGGAGCAGGGAATTCAGGCATTCTGGGTGGGACACAGGCCAAGGAGCACCTGGAAGGTGGCTCTGTCACCTGAGGTCACAGGGCTCTGCAGCAGCTGCTCTGCCTCAGCCTGTTTTTCTGGTTAGGCCTGAGCTCCCTTATTAGTGTTTATATCAAAACAAACACACTCTGTGGAAAAGGTTCGTGCTCCTTCTGCCAGAACCCAAACTTTTACAGCTTTATTTTAAATCTGGAACTTATAAATATGCTGCATTGTCCACATTTAATTCTTCCCATGTTATAATAAAAATCTAAATAGCAAACTGACTGGAAAATAATTTATATTGATGGATTATTCTGGGCTTGCATAGAAGCAGGAGAATAACTCAAATCTACAAGACTTTTAAAATCTCAAGGAAAAAGTGCCCAAACCACCCCCTTCCCCATGAACCCTTTTGCTCTGTCCATTCTTGCACTGCTTTGGAGCTCAAATACTCTGTAAATAATTATGCCAGCAAAGGCTGCAGTGTCTGAGGAAGCTGAGGCAGGAAGAGGCCTGAGCTGCCCAGCTCAAAACCAGTAAATTCATGATCTCACCAGTCCTGAGCAAGTCCAGCAATAAATTGGCACTTCTGGGAAAGCAGCCTTTGCTAGAACACACTGAGGCAGCCCAGCATTGCAATAAAGCCCATTCCACAGGACAGCTTGGAATAAAGAACACTTTAAAGATCTGCTCTGCCTTATTTACTGCCTGCCACACACAGCAAAGGCCTGGCCTTTAAACACCTCCTGAAAACTGGCTGAGGTCCCACTGAGGGACACAGGAGTGACACTAAAGGGGAAGAGAAGCTGGGCTGGTACTGCACAGACATTCCTTGGTATAAAACACCCATTCCAGGAGTGTTACAGCCACAGTTCTGGCTGTTCCTCCTTTCCATCTGCTAAGAAAGCAAATTCCCAGGTCAACATTAATGCAAGGTAAAGTACAAACAAAGTCAAAAGAGTTCCTGGCTCCAGCCAGGACGTGGAGAGGGCCAGGGTCATTGCCTGGATTTTACTTCAGCTGGGGATCAAGGGGGTTTTGTTTGGTTTTGGGGTTGAGTTTTCTAAGATGTTTTATTTCATCCTCTAGACAAAGCTTGAGAGAGAGAATTGGCAGGAGAAGGGAATGAAAAGAGCAGAAGCAATGAGAGACCAGAACCCCCCGTGCCAGTCTTGTTTCAGAGACTCCTGAGGGACTCTGAGGCAGAAATGGGAATACTTTTATTCCTACAGCAAGATCATGCAGGGGGAGGAAAACCAGCAGGGAGAAAAACAGAGAATAAAATTGAGAGATTTTGGACAGGGAGGAGTAGAAATTCTCCAGATGCCTGTCAGACAAAAGCTGTAGCAGCCTCAAAGCAGTACAACCAAAACTTATTGCAAAGCTGACTTTTGCAAAGCCCCTTCCCAAAGTCCTGCTGAACAGCCAGGGCAGGGCCAGTCCCACCAGGGCAGGGCCAGCCCCACCAGTCCCCACATACCTTTTTTTCTTGGTCTTCTTTTCTGCAGCACTTTCTCCAGTGCTAATTAAGGGAGGAAAAATAATGGCTTTGATTAATGCAATAGGAAAATGAAATAAATAGCAGCACACTGAGGCTGAGTTTAATGTTCAAAGGGCACTGGGCAGCTCAGTCCTGTGCAAAGCAGAGCTAAACCCACCTAAGAGCCAGGGAGGAAAACCCAGCAGTTCACCCCTAATTTTCTGTGCTATTTGTGCTCTGCTCTCCCCTTTGGATCATTCTGTATGGACAGCAGGAGCTGGGATGTGAAAGGCACAGGAGAAAAGGATACAAAGAAGTTGTGTGTAACTCTATTTAGCAATAAGTGAATTGATTGAAATCAAGGGTAAAAGCTTAACTTAGCCTGTAGCTTTCACATTTCTTTCAAGCACAAAAAGAAACAGAAAAGTCCATTCATATTGATGCTTTCCAGCTGTGTGTCTGTCAGATTCCCCAGTGTTCATCCCTTCACACAGTTTTAGTGGTGCCACAGAAGAAAGTTCTTCGTGTGCCACCAGAAAAATGAGATTTCTGCAATTTTTTATTTTCACACACAAGGTATGAAAACATTATCAGCACACAGGAGTTCTCCCCACTCCCCACGCTCTCCTGTGGGCAAGGGGAAGACTCTCTGACATTCAGATTCCAACCCCTGCCATCCATATTTACATTCCTAAGGCCTCAGACCCTCTGCAGGTAAGCAGGGGGTTCCCAGGTAGAGGAGTCACTGTGAGAACAGAATTCAACCCCAAATCACCTCTGAGGAGACAGGACCTAGCTCAGGGAGTGCCTCCCCCTCGTGTGTGAGGTGAGGGTTACTCAACAGTTACTCCAGGAGCTCCTACTGTGCTCAGGCCAGACCTGCTCTGGACACTCCCTCCCTAAACTGAGGCATAAACCCAGCTCAGGGCTGGGCTCAGAGCTCCAACACCCCCAGGAATGAGCATTCCCTCAGCTCCCTGCTCGAGGCTGGCAGGCACTGGGGGCTCACTGACACCTCCAGAGGGACCACCAGAATCGTGGGGCCAACACCAGGCAAGCACAGGGAGCTGGAACAACTGGGAAAGGCATTCATGCTGGAAAAGCCTGGATGAGGTTATCAGATGTAAATATTGACCTTTTTAGGCTGGGTTTGCCTTCTGGTTAATGATTCCTGCGTGGCTCTTTAAAGGTTGTGACACAGGCTGTCCAAAGCAGAACTCTGGGAGACACAACTTCTCCAACAGCAAGGAGAACCTCAGAACCTCCCAAAGCAAGTGCCACAAAAAGCACAAGTGTGACCCAGGAAGTTTTTTCCATGAAGGAAAAGCTTCATCCTTGGAAGTGCAGCCCTGGCAGCTGAGGGACAGGATCCTCCTGGCACAGCTGAGGAGCTCCTGGTGCCAGAAGCCCTGGGAATGGAGCCCCAGGTTTAACTGCAGATTAAACACTGCTCCCACCTGGGGATGGCTCAGCCTTCCTTTCTCATGAGGATTTTTCCCAGCACCTGCCCCAAACCTCCTTGTGTGCCAGACTGGCCAGTCCTGTAACTCCCACACAATGATCCCACACTCAGGCTCAAGCCCAAGGACAGGACAAGGAATTTCACCTTCAATTCACCATCCTCCAGTGGTAACCTGCAGAATCCCCCAGAAAAGGGGCAGAAAATCAACAAGGAAATAATCTAAGCCTCAAACTTAGCCTAAAAATCTTGAGTCTCTGAAGAGACTGCCTCCAAATGGAGCCAAGTGTCAGAGTCCAAGCACTGCTGCTCTATCTACAACACTGGGTGACTCTAATTACTTCACAATTACTCACTGGATGAGAATTAATTTCAAAATCAATCACTTTACATCACTCTCAGTCTGATGAGTCTCCACTGCAGGCAGGGTTTCAGCTGTGACTCAGAACTGCTGCTGGGCTGGAGCCCAAGGAGCCCTCCCTGTGCCACCAGCAGGGACAAAAGCTGGGAATGCTGTCCCCACCTCCCATCCCGGCAGGGGCAGTGCCTGAGGACACGTGCCCAGAGCCTCAGCGATTCCAGGTGCAAGGAGTGGCACTGGGAGTGACCCTGTCCCTCTGCAGCTCCCAAAACCAAACTGGAGTGGCAGAAAAGACCCTGGCTCATGGAACTGCATGGAAACTGAGGTGCTGCATTACTTTTGCTTGTTAAAACAATTATTAACCTGGGGGGAAGCATTAAAGTACTCCAGGGCAAAGGGGAAAGGAAATCAGGTGCCACAGGCAGAGCTCTGTTCAGGTTTCTCTGCTCCTTCCCCTTCCTGGGCTGTCACAAGAGGAAATAATTGTGCAATTCAGGGAGCTGTTTTCACTTCATGCTTGAGTTTAAGCTGATAACCCAACTCTCCCTCAGCTGTCTGAGCCCTGCAGCTCCCAGGGGCAGCAGGAGCAGCTGGGCCAGGTTTAACTGCAGCTCTGAGCAGCAGATCTGGACACAGGGAAGAATTGCTGCTTTGCTGGAAATAAATCCACAGCTTTCACTGCCTGGGCAGCACAGAAACAACAAATCAAGCAACCAAGGAATTCAGGAAACTGCTCCACTACCAAAAGGGCTCCAACTGATTGAACTTGGGCTCAGTGCACTGCTTTTGTTTCAGACAGGCCCAAACAGTTTTACATGTATTTCAGATGAGCAGGTGTTGATGAAATTAAAACATTGATTTGAATTCTCTGGACCTGAGTGGACATATTTCACCTAACACAGATCAGCTCTAACATTAAATCAAGCACACATTCCACAGTCTGGAGGGAAAGATCACAGAAAATGGTCTGGGACAACATCTTTTATTTCAATCACAAACCAGACATCTCATCTTGCCAGTCTTACCTCTGTTGCAGCAGGAGCTGCTTTTCTTTCTCCTTAAGGATTTTGGCCAGCTGAGCTGTCCTTGAAGGCCTGTGCAGGTATTTTCTCTTCCCTGTACATTCATAGGTCCAGTGGCCAAACTCTAAACACTTCTGACACCTCACATGCTGCTTGTTTGCCTCCCTAGAAAAATGCAGAATTGCTTAAGTAATTCATTCCAGGTCTGCTCTACCCTCTACTAAAAAATAGTTAGTTTTTTATCATGCAGCTTTAATCAAGCTATGATTAAACCAGATGTTCACAGGTTTTCTTTTGCATCAGGACATGGGCAGTAACACCAAGTAAACACAGAATTCAGGCACACAGATCTTCATTAATTAAAACACTTGCACACTGCTCACTTTGCTGCTATCCAACAGCTGCAGGTGGTTCTGGCTCCAAAGAAATCACTGAAATTCTGGTTTAGAACACAGAGCAGCAGCTTCATTTCCAGTTCCTGAAATGTAACACCCAAGTCCCAAACTGCCCAACTCTCACCCAGAGCCCAGGACTGTCTGAGAGGCTCCCAGGCTCCCCAAAAAGCTCCACTGGGAGCTGGTAAAGCCTGGCACAAGGTTTATCTTTGGGACAATCAGATTCCTGCTCCTCCTGTGCAGTGACTCCAGGCAGACCTCCCTGGCTGCCCCATCCCAAACACCTGCAGCAGCAGGGACACTTCACCCTCCATTCCAGGGCTCTGCTAAAATCCCACGGGCATTTTTAGACATCAGGGAAGGAAAACACTCCTGGAATGTTTCATGCTGGAGCTCTTAAGCTGCATTTCTGAAGCTCTGCAAAGCTGTTCTGCCTCCTGTCCCAGCTGCTCTCCTCCTTCACAAAGGAGGGAACTCACCCAGCCCAGGAGCTGCCCAAGGTCACAGCCAAAATTAGTCCTGAGCTCAGGGCTGAGCCACTTCAGCTCCCTGCCACTGCTGTCCCTTCCTGCCACCAGCAGCTCTTGTTCCAAGCACCAAAACATGAATTTTTCAAGGCCAGCCCATCTGAACTCTCTGAAAGTGCAGGGGGCTGCTCTAGGAAGCCCCCAGGCCCATGTGAGGATGAGGTGACAGTCGAGCAGGGAGCATTTCCCCTCTTCCAGCCAGGCTGGGAATTGCTTCTCCCTCAGCTTGAGCCACCACTCTGTGCCAGTTCCTGCAGGGAGCCTTGTGCTGAGCATTCCTCCCTGTCTCAATGCAGAGCACTGGGCTCCATCCTCAGGCCTTAGAAAGACTCAGCTAAAGCAGCACAAAAACCTGATTAAACTCCCACCTGCAGAGCACAATGAACCTGGCCTTGGGCAGGAACCAGAACGTCTGGGAATGAGCAGGAAAGGCTCTGCCTCCTGCAGGTAAATCAGCAGTGATGGCTCCCCCTCCTCCTCCTCAGCACAAACACAAACCCGTGTTTGTCCCCTCAGCCCCTCGCCAGGAACAACCCCAGAGCTGGGGCTGCAGAACTGCTCCCCCCAGCAGGCAGCTCCGTGGAGATAAAGGGTCAGGAGAAAGCCCCAAAGCCAAGACAGCTGAGAGGGGAACAGCAGCCCTGCTCAGCAGCTGCAGATCACAAAAGCACAGAGCACTGACGAGTCTGGCACTAATGAAGAGCACAGAACTGGAGGAAACTCTGAGCAGGGATCAGTGACCCCAGGCCTGGAGCAGAGGGACAGCTCAGCACAGACCCAGCAAGCACAAAGACATCAAAGCTAAAAACGAGCCTCACAAAACAGCAACTCAAAAAAAAGAACAAGTGTTCCAGGAGCACTTTGAACCCCCAAGTTACTTTTCACTGGAAAATAGAAAAGAAATTATTGCTAAATCACAAAGAAATTGACCACATTCTGCACACTGTGATTGGGCAAAACACCCACAGCCCAAAAACTAAAACAAGATAAATAAACTAATTTAAGGAAAAAAAACCAACAGCCAAACCAACAAAGAGCTGAAAAACCAATGCCAGCACCCCAGGGGCCTGGGACACACATTTCCTGCACCAAAAATAAGCAAAAGCGTGGTTTCCTCGTTCCAGGGCTCTGCAATCAGATCCCCCCGGCGCTGAGGGAATTCCTGGACTGCAACACCCCCGGCTGAGCAAGAGCGCTCGGCTTTTCCCCGCCTTCCTGACAGCTCCGCAAACTCCTCACAACAACATCAACCTGGAGGTTTCTGTTTCGTGTTTGTACCGCTGGGTCTGCGATGAGAACAGGGAAATGACCCCGGGCGCTGCTCCCGAGCCCCGCTCCCGCTCCCAGCGCTCCCCAGGCCAACAACTCCCTCAGCCTCTCGGGACGAGCCCCGGCGGTGCACGGACACCCGAGGCCGCCATCGTTTCGCCCCAGCCGTGTTTTGGGGCGGTTTCCCCGCGGCCGAGCTGCGCCCCCTCCCGGGACACAGCGCAGCGGCGCGGAGGCCGCAGAGCGCCGGGAAAACGCCTGGCGCCGCGGCCCCAGCAGCGCCCGCCGCTCCTCAGCCCGAGCCCGCCCCGCGCGGCGCCCCCGGTCCCACTCACGCCTGTCGGCGGGCAATCAGCCGGTGCATGGGCGTCGCCATCTTAACGGCAGGGCCGGAAGTCAGCCTGCCGCGGGGAACGACGGGACTAGTGGCGGCCGCGGGGCATGCCGGGACATGCGGCTCTGTGGGCAGAGCGCGGCCGCCATTGAGAAGAGTCCTCCGGAGTCATAGAGAGCAAGACCTCCTGGACCATAGAGAGAGTCCTCCGGCGGCCAGAGCGGCAGCGCCTGCCGGCCTGCGCTCTCTCTCTCGCCCCTGCCGCTCCCACAATGTCATTGCAGCGCCCTGGCCCGATCCCTTTTCGTGTCCCTGTCCCTGTCCTGTCCCTGTGCGGGATACTTTGCGGTTTGTTCAGTGGGCAGTCATCCAGCTCTGATGGTTTAATTTGGAAAGCCATGATATCTAATTCTCTCTCAGGTTTGATGGAATGCTATGAAACCAGGAGAAAAGGAAATGTATCATTTTAATATTGATTTCCCTGCAAATTGCCGACCTAACGGAACTGATGGAAACGGCTCCTGGGAACTGTTGGTGGCACAGGGAGGTGGGATTTTGGAGAGCTGTGGTTTGTGTCAGAGCTTGGCTGCAGGTCCCTCAGCGGAGGGGATCACAAAGCCCTCTCCTGTTTGGATATCCCAGAATAGTCAGGTGAACCTCCGGTCGGGTGACGTGTGAGGGCTATTTCCAGCAGCCCGAGGAAGAGCCTGTGACAGACAGCAGCCGGGGATTATTTTAAGCCCACATTCGTGGTGGTGTTTGGCTGGCGTTAATGGATTCCCAGACTGAACTGTGCCCTGAGCCTGGGGCTTCTGGGAGGACATGGGACGCGCCGTGCCGGTGGCTTCCAGGGAAATCATGGATCTGTTTCTTCTGCAGGTCGCAGGACGAGGAGGGTGTTGGGTGTGCCAGGGCAGGACTGATCATGAGTAAGTCCTGAGCAGCTCTGGGGGCTGCAGGCTGGGGTCAGGAGTGCCCCCTGCCCTGAGTGAAGCCCAGGCTGGATCTCTGAGGAACGCAGAGCGTGGCCAGGGCTGGCAGGGCCCCTCTCCCCCACCTCCCTCCCGTGCCCAGGGTCATGTGCCAGCCCAGGGTCACCCCGGGGCACCCAGATCCCCTCTGGCACCGGGCTCTGCTCCCTGGCTCCCTCTGGAAAAGCCGAGTAAAAAACCTAAAAGGGAGCTGGGCTGCACATTCCCCACGCGGGGCAGCAGCCAGGGCAGGTCCTTGGCACCCTGTGCTGCGCTCAGGGGATGCCTGAGAGGCTGCAGGGCACAGAGGCTGGGCAGAGTTCAGGAATAAAGCAGAGATTTATTAAAAGCCCTTCACAGGACACACCTTGGGCAGTGCAGGAGCCCGGCCGTGGCTCCACCCCAGGTGGACTCCTGGCCATGAGTTCTCACTCTTTGATCAGTTTTGGTCCATTCCATACTGGGGTTCAGTGTCCAATTCCAGCTCCAGCTGATGCAGTCCCACCCTCCCAGACTGCTCTCCTCCATTCCCTGTTGGTGGCACTTTTTGGGCTGAAGCTGCAGCGGTGTCCTTGGTTCTGGGCTGGAAAAGGATTGTTCTGTGTGCCTGAGCTGTGAGGAGAGCTGCTGACACTTGATGTGGAGTTCAGAGTTCTGTACCAGGGCAGTGCAGAGTCTGGGAAATATCAAAGCTCAAACTGAAGGCATCACAAGGATGCTCGAGGTCAAACACTTCATTAATATCATGTCATTAGCATGGTGATGCAATTCCCGAGGCAATTCCCAGTCCCCTGCAGCTGCCAGGGCGGAATGGCTGAGCCAGGCAATGGCTCTGGGGCAGGAGTCCCTCCTGCCTGCACTAGTGAGTGTCTCTGGGTGTATTTTCTGTGTCACTACAACAAGGAGCAGCCGTGTAAATACAGCACTGGGGCCTTGGTAACGCTCTGTTTGTGGCACGCTGCACCGCCACAAAGTTTTTATCATGTTTCATCGTGGAATTAAAAGTATTCGTAAACATTCAGTTTCACGAAACTCACAGATGTAAGTATCAAGGTTAGGTTTGTGTTAGGATGAATGCACCAATCCCTCGTGCTTTCATCCCAAAATGGAACCTTTCACACTGCCCAGGGGAGCAGCTCCATGCCCACTGCCCCCTCCACTGCTGGGACCATGGAATGTCCCAGGAACTCCTAGGGATTTAAAAAATAAAGTAAGTTGTTTAGCTCTTTAGGGATTCCTGATCCTTTAAAGGACTTTCCTCCCACACACCCACAAAGCACTTGGTGGCCAAACACTGCCCTGGAAAACACAACGTATCTGTACTCATCCAAACTGCAGCAGAGGGCTCCAGTGAGATATAATAATATTAAAATATTCTGTGATGATTATAGACCAAGTGTACTGTAAATCCTACTGGGCACAGAGCAGTCAAATGCTGAATTTTATTGGGAGCACGGTTGGTATCAAATTATCTTTTAGCACAATCTCAAATTATGACACCTTGGATTTTCAACCTGGGATCATCAAAACCAGCCTTGCACTTTCTGCTGTAATTCAGCAACAATCACAACACTGAATTCCAGAATGGTTTGGGTTGGAAGGACCCTAAAGCTCACCTCACGGCACCCCTGCCATGGGCGGACTCCTTCTGCCATCCCAGGGTGCTCCAGGTCCTGTCCAGCCTGGCCTTGGACATCTCCAGGAATGTCTGAATCTCAAAAGAAAATTTCAAAGGAGGCGTTTAAGTCCTTTTCTGCAAAAACTGTGTTTCCAGAGACTGTACTTGTATTATCATCACATCTCATGGTGCGCGCTGTTCCCATCCACCACATCTGTCACCCTCAGGTCCTTACATCACGGGCAAGGAAAAAGTTTCACTAAACAACTTTTCTGTGGCACCGACCGCTTCGCACTGAGGGCAACAACTCGGCGACCTTTGCAGTGCTGCCAAGCTGTGCCTTTATCGCCTTTTTCTGCCATTCCTGACGCAAGGAAAGAACTTTGGCAAAGGGAGAAGGCGCCGAGCGCCCTCAGAGCCCGCCCAGAGCGCCCGCCCTCAGCCCCGCGCTCTCGCGAGATCTCGGTCGCCCTCAGCGCCGGCGCGGCCGCGGCCCGACGGGATCTTTCGAGAATTGCCGGTACCGCGCTCCCCCCTCAGCGCCGCCGCCATGTCCGTGGTGGGCATCGACCTGGGCTTCCAGAGCTGCTACGTGGCTGTGGCCCGCGCCGGCGGCATCGAGACTGTCGCCAACGAGTACAGCGACCGCAGCACGCCGTGAGTGAACCGGGGAGCCGCGCTGAGGCGGCGGCAAGGCGCCCGCGGGGCCCGGCGTGGCGGGGCCGGGGAGGGAGGGAAGCGGCGGGGCCGGGAGGAGCGGTGTTATAAAGTGCTTACAGAGATGCGGTAAAGCGCGGCAGACGCGGAGGGGGCTTCGGGAGACCCGCTCAGCTTCCTTTCGTAGAATCACAGAATTATAGGATGCTAAGGGGTTGGAAGGGACCTTAAAGCTCATCCACTTCTACCCCTCTGCAATAGGTAGGAACACCTTCCACCAGGTTGCTCCAAACCCCGTCCAGCCTGGCCACGAACACTGCCAGGGATGGAGCAGATACAGTTTCTGTGGGCAATCTGTGCCTGTGGCTCCTCATCCTCACAAGAACCCTGCATCTAATTTAAATTTCCCTTCTTTCAGTCTGAAGCCGTTCCCCCTTGTGCTGTCAGTCCAGTTCCTGATGCAGTCCCTCTCCGGCTTCCTTGTAGCCCCTTGAGACGCTGCAGGACGCTCCGAGGTGTCCGCACACCCTTCTCATTTCCAGGCTGAGCAGCCCCAGCTCCCCCGGCCTTTCGGGGCAGTACGGCCGGTTTGTCCCCCCCGAGGCGGGGCTGTGCCCTTGGGATCACAAGGACGGGGGCTGTGAGTGTAGAGAAAAGCATCCCTGGCTGCTGGAAGTGGCAGACCTTAATTCCCTGTGTGTTCTGGTAGCACGGCTGTCATTCCCCTGCCGTCCCAGCACAGCAGGACCGGGGAGGGGAGGGCCGAGCTGAGCTGGGCTGGTGCCGGGCTTGGTGAGAGCCATGCCTTGTCCTGGGATCAGAGTTTGGAAAGCTGCTGAGCAGCCTGCAGTGCCAGGACAAGGGCAATGACTTCAAAACTGACAGAGGGGAGGTCTGGATTGGATACTGGGGAGAAATTGTTCCTTGTGAGGAGGGGGAGGCCCTGGCACAGGGTGCCCAGAGAAGCTGTGGCTGCCCCTGGATCCCTAGGAGTGTCCAAGGCCATGCATGAAGCCTGGAACAACCAGATAGTGGGGGGTGTCCCTGCCATGGCAGGGGGACTGGGTGAGCTTTGAGGTCCCTCCGTGATTCCATGATACAATGTGGTCAGTATATTCTAGCCCTGCTTGTGTAATCATCCCTCCTACCACATTCTCAACAGGAGCGTGCATTCCCTCCATTTATTAAGGAAAGAACTGCTATAAAACTTTATGAATGACTTGCAAAATGAAAGTGGAAGAAAAATTTGCATCAAGAATTGGGCATCAGACCTGGAGAGGAACTGTGGGGAAAGCTGTCCTAAAAGTGTTTCTGGAGCTTCCCCTCTGTTGCAGTATGGCTTTATTTAAGCGGATCCTGAAGTGGCTGTCTTGGTGAGACAGCTGGATCATCTTCAGTGTTTGGGCTGCTTTAGATCCCTTGCATCACTTCAGAAAGCCCAGAGTGACCTTGCTTCTCATTAGACAATACATCACTGTTTGCTTTTCCTGTCTCTGAGCAATTAATAAATGGCGAAGGAAATTTTGAATTCAGCATGTGTGCCCAAGTATCTGGAGA